CAGTGTTTTGGGAATCTGCCATTTAGTACAGTGAGTAGTTCTCAGATGTTAATGTGGCTAAGAAAATAGAGCTGATTTTGGTGTGGATAAGAATCACTGGGATACTAGGTAAGAATGTACCTTTCTGAGCCCCACTCCCAGAGTTTCTGATCTATCAGGTGAGGCCAAAGTTTTAGAAATAAGCATTCTGGGGCTGGAGCAATAGCACAGCAGGTAGGGCATTTGCCTTGCACGCGGCCGACCCGGGTTCGATTCCCAGCATCCTGTATAGTCCCCTGAGTACCACCAAGGGTGTTTCCTGAGTGCAGAGCCAGGAGTAACCCCTGTGCATCGCCAGGTGTGACCCAAAAAGAAATTTTAAAAAAACAGCGTTCAACCCCATCCCCAGGTGTTTGTTTCTGAAGCAAGAGGTGTTTTGTTGTAGCTGGAGACACCTTGACCTTGTGACTTGTAAATTCTCATCAGTTGTTTTACTTCAATCGCCTAAACTCAAAAATGCAGGGGGTTAGAAGTACTCTGTTTCTACTTGCTTCCAGAAACCTTAGAAAGACTTCCTGGAAAGGGTTTCTGAGCCACAGCACATCAGTACCTCACCTGTCTTTTCAAACAGGAGCATGATATTGTACCATCATGAGGTCTTAAGAGAGAGGTCAAAAGAATTTCCCTGGAACAATTTTTAAAAGTATGAGTGTGCCTGTGTGGTGGTGAAAGGGGAAAGGGGGGGAATTCACAAACATTTAAACTTTGCCCAATGAACATGAACTGTGTGAATGTCATACTCTAATTTAAACGCGTTTAAGAAGTATAAGAAAGAGCTGTAAAGGCTTTCAAGATGTCATCCTGGAAGGAAAGAGGTAGAAGGCACTGGACGCTGACAGGAAGAAAAGAGGGAGAAACTTAGACTTCCTGATGAAAGCACCAACTAAATCCGCAGCAGCTGGTACAGTAGAGAGACGAAAAAAAGATTCAGCAGATGTGGCCGCAAATCGGCTGGAGAACGCAGATGCCATGAGCCAGACCCTTTGACTACAAAAAGGGAAGAAATAAAGGGAGAAAGGAAGGGAAAGGAAGGAAGAAAGGAGGAAGAAGAGGGAATGAAGGAGAGGAGAAAGAAACAAAAAGTGAGCCCTGAGGGCCAACCAGACAGTACAAAGGGGAAGGTGGTGGCTTTGAATGCAGCTGACCTTGGTTCTCTCCCCAGGACCACATAGGGTCCTCCAACCCCTGCCAGAAGTTATCCCTGGGCACAGAACTAGGATAAGCCCTAAGCACTGCTGGGAGTGACCCCTCACAAAATGAGAGATCTCTGGCCCTAAGAAAGTTCGTTCCTGTGGCTCTGCCTAGTTATGAGGGCTTGAGTGACTCTTCCACATCTGGATGTGGTTATTAAAAATGGCTGCCTGGAGGAATAGTGTAGGGCCTCAGAGTGCCTGCCTGGTAAGCATGTGGTCATGAGTTCAAATCCCTGGTGTCCCACAAGCTCCAGGAGGGATCCTGGAGGTTCTGCTTCCTGTGATCCCTAGCACCACCAATGATTTCTGGCTGTACCACAAAAAGAGCTGCCACCCCCAGCGAGCTCATATGTGTGAACACCACAGTCAGGTGTGGCCAGAACATGTGTGAACACTGCAGTGAACACCCCAGGAGAGCACCACTAGCATGATTTCTATACTCCGACTAGTAAGTACCACAACGAAGGGAGAGCAGCTCGTGAGCATCCGTCCAGTGCACAAGCACCACACCCTGATGTGCAACCGTCAGTGGACACCACAGCCAGGTGTGTGCATGACCCTTGCCCCCGTTACAACATCAACAATGCCAATGAAGAGAAGGGGAAACGGAGAGAAAAAAATAAGAAATAAACAGAGACCTGCAGACAAATAAATAAATGAAAGGCGACTGGACCTTCCAAAGTGAGGAGGAATAAAATATGGTGGCAGAGACTGAAAGGTTGTGGATGCTCTTCTGCATTGGGAATAAACCAAACCCGAGTGTGGGTTCAGCTCCCCAAGTCACTGCCCACCTTTTTCCCCTCACCAAACACCGCCCTCAGCACTCGGAGAGAAGCTTTCTTTTCCCTTTCTGCTCTGAGCCGATCTGGGATCTGGATGTCTTCGCTTTGTGCGGGCCTAAGCTTGAGTTTCCTTTCTCACACACCCCACCCTCCAGCTGTTCTCCTTGACCCCCCCAGAAGCCTCTTCTACCTTCTCCCAGGCAGAGCCAGCTGTTGTCATGGAGGCCACCTACTTCCTCCCTGTCCTGGCTGTGACTCACTAGTGGGAGGGCAGAGACCTTGCCAGAGGACCCCAGGGACCCAGACAACTTGCTCGAGGCACTTGGGCAAAGAGGGGAAATAAGACGGGCATTGGAATTAAATAAATTGTCTATAAATGTCTTTTAATTAAAATTGTGGTTCTTGTTCTGTGCCGAAGAGTCTCTTTAAAAACAATTGTGCCCCCCCTGAGTTATATAGGCTGGCTCTCCCCAAGCCAGTGAGGGAAGGGAAGGGAGAATGGAGTGGTGATAGATAACTGCTCCTTTCCCCTTTTAAGGACAAGAAAAAAAAGCAAAAAATATAAAGAAGAAGAAGATGATGATGATGATGAAGATGAAAAGAAGGAACTGCAGCATCTGCTAGGTGACCCCAGACTGAGATTCCTGGCAGAGGAGACTGAGCTCCTTGTGAATCTTGAAGCTGTGGTTTTTGTTTTCTTTTGTTTCATAAAATTATACCACCTTCTCCCTCCTCCTCCTCCCTTCTCCCTGTCGGCCGCAGCCAGCAGCCCTGAACGCCAGCCAGAGCCACCCACACTTCAGCCTTGGGGCCACCAGGCAGGCACAGGGAATCCCCAAGTTCAGAGGCTGGAAGTCTGCAGAGGAGACCCAGCGGAGAGAGGGAAGAGAGGAGAGAAGCCCAGAGAGAGAGAGAGAGAGAGAGAGAGAGAGAGAGAGAGAGAGAGAGAGAGAGATTAGAGAGAGAGATTAAGGGGAAGCAATGGAAGAGGGGAGCTAGGAGGAGCCAGGGATAGTGCCCACCCAGGAGAGACAGCTCCTGAGAGCGCACAGCCTTCCAAACCCCAAGGAAAAGAAAAGGAAGGGAGCAGGGCAGGGAGGGAGCGAGGCCAAGGGGTGTGCAGCGACTTTAAGAAACAAAAGTGGACTGTCAGGGGGCTGTGCCTGTCTGATCCCCGTGAAATGCCCCTGCTCGGGCGCTGCACCGGCTCCATCCAAGCTCTCCGGACCTCCCAGCCCGATCTACACCTCCCATTCATTGCAATGCGCTTACGTGTGATCCAGGCACAGTACAAGCTCAGGAATGAGGGGCTTGTCCTGGGAGAGCGCCCCAGGGGAAGTGTAAGCCCCACCACCCAGGTCTTCGATCACTGAAAAGAGGGGACCGGCTTCCCCTGCCCCTCCAGATTTCTGGGTGTAACCCTCCCATACCCCGCTTATCTATGCAACAATTATTTGTCTAGCTATTCTACTTTTAGCCTCCTCCGAGTTTCTCTCTGACCACACAGAGCCTTAAACTAAATGTTAACAACAAGGTAAATTTTATCTATCCTGGTTGCCTGTAAGAACAGAAAATCCAAAATGTGATGGACCTGGAAATGTGGGCTGGGGTCCTCACGGGACAGAAACTATAGTATAACCAAGAAAAAGCACCAGATCAGGGAGCAGGAGCTGGAGGGCCTCAGAATCCAAGAGACAGACACTCATGCCTCAAACTCAAGGCAGAGCTGTCTCTGGACCAAAATCCACCCAAGACCTTTTCCTAGGTGTCACTACCCTCAGCCTCAGCATTTAACGAGTCTTCTTTTCTTCATCTTTGTTTTTGTTTTTAATCCTTCAAAGACAAGACAAAAATACAGCTCACGTATCATCATAGATATAGATATATATTTTTTTCACTCTCACCACATAAATACAAAACATCCAAATATCCAAAACATTCAGAACAAAGTTAGTAGCCAGGATTCAGGGACACCTACCCACATCTGAACTGTTCGTTATTTTCTTCACTATTTGCCTTTAGGGGGGAGAGGGAGTAGGAGGGAGCTTCCCACATAAATAATTTACAATAAAATTACTGTTTTTAAAATGCTCTGCTCTTGCTTGGGACGGAGGGATACATTCTAGACACTGCGGCTCCTAGCGTCTGGGCCTGTGGTTTTGGTTAAAATGCAGGTGGCCTTGACTGTGTATGCCAGTGAGGGGTGAGGACCAGAGTCAAGGTCCAGTTTTCGGACTTGGGACCTTCAAAGTCCTGGGATTTTTTTTTCTTTGTGGGTTGAGGGAGACCTTTACCATCAAGCAGGAAGATGATGAGAATATGGACAGAGGCCCTAAAACCTAGCTGTCCCTGGTGGTGGGTTCCTTCCGAGAGGACAACCCTGGATGAAACTCATTTTCTTCTTGCAGGAAGGGTTGTGTGGATCCGGAAATGGGGGGTGAAGATGCAAAGGGATCTGAACTGGCTTCAAACCCAGTAATTCTGTCCGGAGTGAGGTGCGTGGAAGCTAGTGAGTGGGGAGAAGCACCAGCCTGGAGAGAGAGAGAGAGCCCAGAGCCCTCCTGGGCACCTTCCACGGAACCTGAAGTCACCAGTCACCATTCGAACAGCTGCGGGAAATACACTGTGAATTTCCTTTCCTTCTTGGCTCTTCTTTTGCTTTCCCTCTTGAAATGCCTGTTTCAAGTCGCAATTCCCCGCCCCCAACTTGAATTTTGCACTTCCCATGCCTCCTTCTCTCTCCTGAGTTTTCTTACACCTTTCAAACTTCATTGTTAGGGGAATTTTAAAAAACGGGCTCCACTTCATCTTGTTTTGTGTGGCAGTGGTCGTTCTTATTGCTGATTCGAGTAAATTTATTACCAAGGTTCCCTAGCTTGAAGTCTGTTTTATTGTCTCCAGGACCGGTGAGTTTCTCTAAAGGGTTTGAGCAAACTCTGCAAGATTCGTCCCACCAGGAAGCTGGCTGTGAATCCGCGCTGCTCTCCGGAGAGGTCCGCAAAGTGAGGTCTAGGGGCACCCCCAAAACCCTGGTTGTTCTGGCAAGAGGAAGGAACGTCCTCCTTTTTGGTCTAACGAAACCTACAAGTTTGTTCAGCCCCCGGGATCCGCGTGCAGCGTTCCTCTTTCGCATATTCAAAAACTCTTCGGTGGCAGCGGCGGCTGATCGGCTGATCGGCTGCAGGTGTCCTGGGCTCGGTACCTAGAGTCAGTCTTCTCCCTGCCGGCTGCCCGTGGCTTGGAGCTCGGCTTTTCCCCCAATTCTTTGGATTCTCCCGGATTCCGAAGGAAGTTTGGGGACGTGGGGATGGAAAGGATTTGGGGGAAGATACGGAGGAATGATAGGGGTGGGGAGGTGGGGAGGAACTGCCCCAAGGAGATGACATCGGTGACAGAAGCCAGGTGGGGGGGAAGGACCGTTGTCAGAGGCCTCGTGGGAGCCGGGAACCCTGCGCGGGAGCCCCGGGCGCCTGACGCGCAAGAGTCCATAAATATCACCACAATAGATAACTATAAATATAAATACAGGGAGACACTTCCGATCCTCAGTCCAGCGCTTTTTTCTCGGCCCCTTCTTTATTGTTGGTCCGGGAGTAAGGCTCGAAGGCCGAGGAGCTCAGGTACCGGGCGGACAGTTCTTGTAAATTCCCGGCCAGCGAACCGGCCATGGTCAGCGGGGCGGAGGAGAGGCGGCTGGCCACCGAGCCGAGCAGCGAGGGCACGGGCAGGCTGAAGAGGCCGTGGCCGGCGGCGGGCGCGCCCGCGTGCAGTCCCCCGGGGCCCGCGGGCCCCGCGCCGGGAGCGCCGCCCACGGCCGGCGGGTGCGGGGAGGCAGCGCTGGCCGGGCCCGGGGCGGTGGCGGCGGCGGCGGCGGCGGCAGCGGCGGCGGCGGCCGAGCCCGCGGCGGCGCCCGCGCCCAGGGCCGGCAGGCTGGGCCCGCGCAGCGCCGAACCGAGCGCGCCCGTGGCGCAGGGCGGCAGCAGCGCGGGCAGGCCGGGCGGCGACAGCAGGCGACCCTGCTCCAGCAGCCGCAGCACGCTGCACGTGGCGGCCGTCTCCGACACCACCGAGCGCAGCTCCGAGTCCTTGCCCTGGTCCTTCTTCTGCTTCGTGCGCCGGTTCTGGAACCAGACCTTCACCTGCGTGCCAGGGGCACCGGGGAAGACAGGAGAGAAGGGCGGGAGGAGAAGGGCGTCAGGGCGTGCGGCTCCAGGCCGTCCCAACAACCCCCTCCCACACACACACCCGTCGGTCTCACCGCACCCCGCAGCGGCGGGGAGAACTCCCCGAGCCCGGGAGCTGCCTGCCTGCCTGCCTGCCTGCCACAGGGGATGCCCGGTACCCCTGTGGAACTGGGCACCCGCTGGAACTCTGGAACGACCCGCCGCCCGGGACGGCGCTTGCGGGCCGTGGAAGCGAGCCCGGGAGGAGGTCGAGGGCATGGAAAACAACGGAATACACGCGTCCCGGACCCCTGACTCTCGAGCAGATCCCAAGGTGCTCTGGATGGTGGCACAGTCCGCAGCCAGGCTGGCCCCTGCACCGTTTGCGCCCGAGTGAGGCCTGAGAAGTGCCTTGCGGGAAGTGGGGTGTGGAGAAGTAGCCAGGGAGGACAGTTACTCTGCCCAGAAGCCCCAAGCCCCTCGCACATCCGATTGCAATTTAACCCCAGAAGCCGAGCTCCTGTTGAAGGCTCCAAGGGGTCGTTTCTTGCTCCTGAAGATTTAACCACCACCTAGAAGCCTAGCTGGGACGGATGCTGGAGAAAGGCCGCATTTCTGCAAAAAAAAACGGACTTGCCAGGCATTCTCTGCTTTCTCCCACCACCGGCTGGACGGAAGGAACTGAGTGATACTCTGATTTTTACCACTCCACTGCTCTCTGCCATGAACTCTGGAATCAGGGGAGGGAGTAACTGAGGCTGCAGTGAACTTGCTTCTCTCCACCAACCTCCCCTCACTTCTGCTTCCCCCTCACCCAGTAGGTGGCCCAGAACGAAGTTTGGCAGATAAAAAAAAAAGTTACCCCGTGTAGATTTTATAAAGTAGGAAGGGTGATAGTTGCAAGGAGAGGGAATAATGACTATGCCAACTTAATTAAATGAAAAAGAACAAGATAGGTCGCATCCTTAGGTTTCCACCTCAAATGCAAAAATGCTCCTCATCTGCATTGGGCTGGTACAGAGAGAGGGACTGGGACTTTGAAGGCTGTTTTACTTAGGCCAAGCTGGGGGCACAACATGGGATGGTCTGGCTGGTCAGCGTACTCTGGGTCAGCTCCAGTAGCTGCACAGGATCTCACGGAAAGGAAAAACTCTAAAGCAGAGTGGCCGGGCTGGATTCGCAGCTTCACCCACCACGGACACAGGTACAGGGTCACCGAATGAACTAGGCACAGGGCTGGACCCAGCTCTCCACCAGGTGAAGCCTTGAGAACTAGGGAGACCCCGTGTGTTGAGACTCCAATCTGGGGATCTGACACCTTTTCTAACCCAAGGAGTCACCGTCTGCGCCAGAGCCAGAGGCTTTGGCTCTAGGCCTTCTTCTTGCAGGGTGCCCCTGGGTGCTGTGTGGGGCATGGAGAGGGGGCCTGCAAAGGAAACAGGTGTCTGGAAAGCTGGCTAAAATGGGGGCCCCAAAGAGGAACACACTCAGTTCTTTGTTGAGCAGAATGAAAACGGGATTCTCAGGACTGAAGTACAGAAAGAATTCCAAAAGGACAGGCTTTGGAGCCCTTTGCTCTTAGCCCAACCAAGGCAGCCCGGATAGACTCCGCCAGGGAAATTAAGGAAGGGGAGAAAGCCTGAGGCCTTTCTTTCCTGTCCTCTCTCGCTTCTCCACCTGCACTGGGAGGCTCTGTCCAGAGGGAGGCCGGTGCAGAGCTGTGTGTGGCCTAGTCGCCGGGTACCTGGGTCTCGGAGAGGTTGAGCTGCCGGGCGAGCTCGGTCCTCTCGCGGCCCACCACGTACTGGCAGCGCTGGAACTCCATCTCGAGCCGGTAGAGCTGCTCCGCCGTGAAGGACGTGCGCGTCCTCTTGGGCCGGTCCAGATCCAGGCCCTTGGGCAGGATGATCTCCCGGATGGACCCCTTGGCATCTGGGGAAGGGGAGATGTCAGGCGCCAGAACCGGGAATTCCCGTTCCCCTCCAATTTCCTGGCGTTAGCTGGCTTTGGGGACCATCTCGCCAGCAATCCGGAGTTGGAGGGGGCGGGGGTGCGGCCACAGCTGGGGAGCAAAGATCCGGCGTGTGTTGGGGCCGAAGAGGCGAACCCCACACCGCTTACAGGAGGAAGAACCAGACTCTGCTTTGGCAGAGCACTCGGGGCGGGAGGTGGGGGGGTGAGCGGGAATCAATTCCAAACAGGGTGGTCATCCTTCCGGGCCTGGGAACCTTGGCTGCGAGGTCTGGACCCCCCTCCTACCCTGAGGGTCTCCGCACGGACCGGCCGGGCTCTCCCACCTGCGGGCTCCAGCCCTGGCATATGGGGAGCAAACCTCCCTCCCGCGATCCGCACCCCACGCCCCGGGGTTCCGCGACTCCCCAGCCGGGGAGGAGAGACAGAGTCGCGGCCGACCGGTCCTGGCGATCCGGGAGGGGAGGGGGGCGGGGTGCGCGCGGGGCCAGACCCGGATCGCACCACCCCGGCGGCCGGAGCCCGGCTCACGCCGCACCGCGGAGCGGGGCCGAGCCGAGCAGCGCGGCGGCCTCGGCGGCTCGGCCACCCGGCCCCGCCGCCGCTCCCAGAGGCAGCGGCCGGCCCCGAGCGCCCGCGGCCCGCGCCTCGTTCTCGCCGCTCGGGCGCGCCCGGTGCGGCGGCGGGCTTCGGGGGGCTCCTCGGGCCCGCGGGGCGCGCGTGCGTCCCCCCACCTAGAGTTCCCAGCGCCTTCCCCGGGACCAGAGGCCGCAGCCGGGAGCCCGGAGCCCGCTCGGGCCGGCCAGGGTGGGGTGGGGGCGAGGGGGGCTCCGTCCTCAGCCCCGCGGCTCGTCCCCGCCGCGCGCGCCCCGGGCGCGGGTCCCCCCGCGGCGGCCGGCGGGGAGGGCCGGGAACTTTCTCCCAAGTGGCCGGCCGCGCTCGGGCGTCCCGGGGTGGCCCCCCGCGCTCGCGCGCCGCGGCCGGGCGCCCCTGCCTACCTCGGACCAGGATCCGGCGGCAGTAATCCGGGTCGGCGGCCGCGCCGGCTTTACTTTTGTTGCAGTCGTCGGCGGCGCCCTGCGGCTCCTTGAGGAAGGCGGCGGGCAGGCTGCCCTCGGCGCCCTTGCCCTCGCGGCTCTCCTTGTGCGCGCTCTTCGACATCCGCGCCGCCTCCGCGTCCGAGTGGCACCGAACGTCCATTTTGTCTGGTTTCCCGAACATAGGAGCGGCGACAGCCGCCCGGAGGAGGGGGAAAATCGGAGTGGGGGGGGAGGTGGGGCAGGAGCCGCGGGGGCCGGGTGGGGGGAAAGGGAGGGCAGGGGTGGGGGGAAAGGGGGCCGAAGGAGAGGAGGCAGCGTGCGGGGGGACCGACCCCCCTCCGAGGCGGCCGGCGGCCGGGAGAGCGGCCCGGGGCTGCGGGGCGGCCGGCCGGCGACGGGCGCGCGGGCCGGGCGGCGGCGGCGGCGGCGGGTCCGGTCCGGGATCCCGGCGGGGCGGCTGCCCGGGGACCCGCCTGGTCCGCGCCCGCGTCCTCCGAGCACGTCCAGCCCCGGCGGCGGCGAGCGGGTGGCGAGCGGCGCAGGTCCGAGAGGCGGCGGCGCCCGCCCGCCCGCGACTGAGGCTGCGAGTTGTAGTTGTCCGACACCCGGGGCGGGGGGTGGGGTGGGGTGGGGTGGGGGGGAAACGCACGCTCGCGGTGGCAATTGATTACGGGTAATTTCGCGGCCCCCACGTTTCGGTTACCTCATGAATACACTAAATTGTTTGGATAATATATCAGATCGTAATAGATGGTTTCTGTCCTGGTCCCCAATCAAGTGGGGGGTTTCGCCAGCGAATAAACGGAAATGATTGGTCTTGCTTTCAGGAAACACACAATCAAAGACCCGCACTTCCAGAAAAACTTTTGACAAGATTCATCCTGAATTGTTCGGACCATTAGCAGGCGTTATTAACTTTCCCTGTGCCTTTGACCCTCCTGCTCGCAGACGGGCTGCAAGGATTTTCTCCGCACTCGACAGATAGAGCTGAATGAGGGCGGAGGGGAGGAGGGGAAGAGCCCTCGCACGCCCGGCAGCCCCAGAAAACACTTTTGCCAGGCGTTGGAGCGGGGAAAGAAAAACTCCCCCCCCCAAAAAAAGAAAAAGTATCCCCTCCCCACTCAAGGAAAGCCAAGCTTGCCTCCCCAACAAGTCCTTCTTAACACACCTCGACGCTGACAGCCATCTTAAACTGCCACCTCTCTTCATTTAGTTCCAGCGGGATTTTTTTTTTTCCATGCCTGCACCTCCAGCGGCCCGGAGGAAGCCCATTCAAAGGGCAGCTTTGTACTCAGAGAGAGTCCAGCAGGAGAGGGAGAGGGGGAGAGCGAGCGAGAGCCGATAAAAAAAAAATCTCAACTGTGAGATCTGCTTCAAAAAAAAAAGGGGGGAGAGAGAGAGAGAGAGAGAAAGAAAGTTTTCCCCTCGCTATTTCATTGTCTCTGCTACAATATCTTTGAGAAAAGCAACAGCCAGTAATCCAATAAGAGCATTGATTAGGCTACAATGATTCAATTCAAGCGCATGGCCTTGTGCAAGGAGCATGCTCCAGCCCTTCTCGTCACCTTGCCGGGGCAGAAGCCCTCTCCACGCCGCTCTCCCCATTCATTCCTTTATGGGAAATGCGGAGCAAAAGGAGTGAAAGATGGCAATTATCTAATTGGACTATTAACAAACAGTCCTCCGAGTGCGGCGGTCTGGCGTGGCTCCTGGGCGGGGGAAGGGCCGTGTTCGCTGCCCTCATTCACAAAGAGTGCTGGGGCCGCGGAGGAAAGGGGATTTTTTAAAGGGAGTTGTGGGGGGGGGGGCGGGGGAGGTTTAGGGGCGCAGAGGAGAGGTGGGAGGTTCGGCTGAGAATTTTTCCACACAATTCCAAGAATGGGGGCGGAGGCGGGCGGGGAAGGGGAGGGGGCGAGCCGGTGGGGAGGAGGAGGAGGGCCAGTGTGTGTGGTGGGCTCCGAGGGGCCCGCGGGACCCCGGCGGATTCCAGGGGGCGGGTAGGGGAGGGGGTCGTTGGCCCTGTCCCCCCTTCTCTCCGCCTCTCCCAGCCCCTCCGGAGGAGAACCTCCGGCCAGCTCGGTTAGGGAGGGCGGCCGGGTCACCCTAACTGCCCTTCGACTTTTTCTTTTTCTTTTTTCTTTCTTTCTCTCTCTCTTTCTTTTTTTTCTTTAACTATTTGATCCGATTGGGGGGTGGGGGTGTCGGGGCTGCGTGAGGTCCCGTCGGGTCCTGGGTGAAGCCGGACGGTCGCGGCTGGAGCGCGCCTCGGAGCCCTCCTGTGTCCCAGCCGGGCTGAGGGTGGGCGACCGGGCGGAGGGCGGTGGTTGGGGTGGGGGGTGTCTTCGAGCTGCGGGGTTCCGAAGAGGTGCGGGGGAGTCCAGACAAAGTGCGGCCCTTCCCGGCCCCTGGCCGCGACGCTCCCTTGAGCCCCACGTCCAGAGGCGCCGCAGCCGGCTCTCCGCTCCCCGTTCCCCGGGGTCTGGGAGGTGGGTGATGCCCCCTCCGAGTGTGCGGCAGAACCCGGCCGTTCCTGGCGCATCCGTAGGCGGAGTGGGACTGGGATCCCACATCCCCGGCCTTCGGCTCTTCCTTGGCCCCTGGCGAGGGGAGGGCGACCGGTGGGTGCATCCCCCAGACGGCTGGACCTCACGGAGGCCGCCCAGCCCTTGGCTCCGCATGCCTAGCGCCGGAGGAATTGGAGCGCCCGCGCCCCGTCGGGGGAATAGCGGGCCGCGAGCGTCCCAGACCGGCGACCTCGGCCCAAAGCGGGGCCGCATAGGGGTGAGTCTGGGTTTCCCCGCCCCACCCCCCGCCCCGATGTACCCAGCTCCGCCGCCACCTCCCTATCTCGACATCCAGGCAGACCCTGGCGGTGCCGGGTCAAAGGCCCAGAGCGAAGCCTTCAAAAATAAAAATACCCGCAGCATTTGAATTCCTTCCAGTTGGGGAACGCTGCTGCGCTCCGCAAGGATGCGCCGGTCTCCACGGGATACGCGGGTCCCTGACTTATCTCCCCACAGCCCCAAACAGCATCGGAGATTCTTGTCTCTCCTCCCTCTTTTAAGAGAGAACAGTGGCATATTTTGATGTGCACATTTGGGTAGCGTTTCTTGGCCGCTCGCAAATTCTTTGAACTTTCTTAACGTCTCTTTCAGGGGAGTTGCGGTAGTCTTCCCATTTTATAGATGAAAAGACTGCGGCTCCGAGGTCCTCCACAACCCATCCACCACATCCTCACACAGAACTGCTAAAGTGCAGGATCAGAACTCAGTTCTGTCTGATTTCAGGGCTGTCCTTGTTCTCCCATCCCCAGCGCACGGGGCTCTGCCTTTTCTTAGTTCAAGTCCATCTTGGCTTTGAGTTTTGGGAATCTCCTAGTGACAGTGATAACAGAGCAATGACCTGTAATCATGACAGGAATCCAGATTATTAGACATCCCCTTTTAATGAACTTTATTGGAAACTAATGGAAACATTAAATCCTGGTTTCTGATATTATTTCTAGCCATCAGCATTTCTTAGGTGTCTACCACCCTCCTATATTAGACTGCTTTGGGATGGAAAAGAAAGTCATTGTTCAAGTTCCTAAACCTGCTAAGAGTAGGTTAGTCAGTCCAGAAGCAATGTTCAGGAAAGGACATTTCTAGTCGTTTCCCCAGGGGGGAATCTAGCTCACAAAGTTGGAGAATTGAACCTCTTAATTGGGTGATGTTGGGGGGGGCACCATTGAACTTTTTGCTATAGAATGAAACCTTGCCCATTGCCATCCCCAGTCACTGAAACTACATGTGCCAATTCACGAAGGGAAGGACATAGGATTTAGGAGGGAAACTATAATATCAACCCTCAGTTACCAACAGTCTGGAGGTGTCAGGACCTGAAACAGGATCCCAGTGACCCCTAAAGCACTAAACCTCCCCTTCCCTCCCCTCTTTTAGGCCTTCCATCCCCTCCTCTCTCCTTCCTTTCTCTCTTCTTCTCTCCTGTGCCACAAGGCTGAGCCCTTTACACAGAGAACCCACTGGGTTCTTGTCAAGACTCAGGGTTGGCCACACCAATGGTGCTACTGACCACTGATGGTTCTCTATGTGCCCAGCCCTTGAAGTAACCAAACTCAATAAACAGCCACAGCCTGTTTGGTTTTTTTGATATGCACAGTGCTTTGGGGAGTAGTTGGGTTAGAAATCTCTGGGCATCCATGGGCTGGGAGGGGGTGGGGAGCAGGGGTGAGAGATTTCTGAGAGGACACAGTGGAGGACAGAAACTCAGGGACGGAAATTTCAGAAGAGCACCTGCTACTCCCATCAAAATGAAAGCAGTATGTCCATGTGAAGAAAGGGGAGAACGCAATTACTTGGATGACAGGAGACAAGCTATTCTCTGCCATGCATGTGAGAACCCAGGGCCATGCAGGTAAAAGTGTTTTATTCTCCTGACTGAATCTGCCTCCCTCCCCAGAGACTGCAGGTGCAGACAAACCCAGAATAGAATTGTAGAGCTGGAAGGACTTTTAGAGATCATCTATTCCATAACCTTCATTTGACTTGACAGATGAGAAAAATAAGCCTGAAAGACAAAGCGACTTGTTAAGGATTAGACAACTAGTCAGGGGTCATCTGTGCAGTGAGCCTGGTCTGAATGCAACACTGCTGCCACCACCCAGGCTTCCTGGGACAACAAGATAAATGTTGTCTCGGGGATTAGGTAAAATGATGTCACACATATGAGCAAAACCCCAATCTGAGCCCACAAGTGCTTTTCATATTCTCTGCCTCTGCCTTGTCACTGCTTTGGAAAGCTGGAGCAGAGATAGAACACAATGTTTTGCATTTTCATCTTCATTTTTCAGTGCAGAAAAACATAAAAGGGGACAGACAAGCAGAGAATTTGAGATCCTCTTAAATTAGGAGAGGTTTGGGAACAGCATAACTTAATGTTGAAGACATGGTTCGTAAAAAAGTCATATCAGAAATTAAGTTTCCATAGCTTCATTCAATAATGAATCAGGGCGGCTGATCATGACTAATCAAAAATAAGAACAACTAGCAGAGATTTCGTACAGAGACTTTCATCCCAAAGTTGCATGTGGTAATGAATTCAATTTCATCTAACTGTCATTGTCCCACTTCACAGAAGGTCATTGGGGCAGTCTAGAAGTAATTGAATTGAGAACTAATGCTG